TTGGAAAAATTTTATAAATCGGAAAAACGAGACGTCGAGAAGTCCAAAATTCCAAAAATTGAAACACCAAAAAATCGAAAAACTGAAAAATCAAAAAATGTAAAAATCTACGATTTAAAATTTGGAAAATCGAAAAATCTAAAATTTAAGAAATCGACAAATTCAAAATACCCAAACTGAATTCTCAAAAAATCAAAAACCAAGAAATCGAAACATTGACACATCGAGAAATTGAAGCGTTAAAAGATCGAGAAGTCGAAAAATCGAGAAATTTAAATTCGAAAAATCTGAAACTTTAAAGATCGAAATATTGAAAAATCAAGAACTTGAAAAATTGGAAAATCGAAAATTGAAGAGTTGAAAAACGAAATATTGAGAATTTAAAATAATTTAAAAATCGACAAAATGGAAAACTGACATTGAAATTCGAAAAGTCAAAAATCGGGAAGTTCGGCATTGGAAACATCGAAAGTCTTAAGTTTAAAATATTGAAAAATCAAAGTATCGAAAAGTCTAAAAAATTCCCAAAATTGAAATGTTGAAATAGTGAGAAATCAAAAACTTGAAAACTCGGAAATTGAAAAATTTAATAAATCGGAAAAACGAGACGTCGAGAAGTCCAAAATTCCAAAAATTGAAACACCAAAAAATCGAAAAACTGAAAAATCAAAAAATGTAAAAATCTACGATTTAAAATTTGGAAAATCGAAAAATCTAAAATTTAAGAAATCGATAAATTCAAAATACCCAAACTGAATTCTCGAAAAATCAAAACCAAGACATCGAAACATTGAAACATCGAGAAATTGAAGCGTTAAAAGATCGAGAAGTCGAAAAATCGAGAAATACCCAAACTGAATTCTCGAAAAATCAAAAACCAAGAAATCGAAACATTGAAACATCGAGAAATTGAAGCGTTAAAAGATCGAGAAGTCGAAAGATCGAGAAATTTAATTTCGAAAAATCTGAAACTTTAAAAATCGAAATATTGAAAAATCAAGAACTTGAAAAATTGGAAAATCGAAAATTTGAAGAGTTGAAAAACGAAATATTGAGAATTTAAAGTATTTTAAAAATCGGCAAAATAGAAAACTGAAATTGAAATTCGAAAAGTCAAAAATCGGGAAGTTTGGCAATGGAAAGAAACATCGAAAGTCTTAAGTTTAAAATATTGAAAAATTAAAGTATCGAAAAGTCGAAAAAAATCCCAAAATTGAAATGTTGAAATAGTGAGAAATCGAAAACTTGAAAACTCGGAAATTGGAAAAATTTTATAAATCGGAAAAACGAGACGTCGAGAAGTCCAAAATTCCAAAAATTGAAACACCAGAAAATCGAAAAACTGAAAAATCAAAAAATGTAAAAATCTACTATTTAAAATTTGGAAAATCGAAAAATCTAAAATTTAAGAAATCGACAAATTCAAAATACCCAAACTGAATTCTCGAAAAATCAAAAACCAAGAAATCGAAACATTGACACATCGAGAAATTGAAGCGTTAAAAGATCGAGAAGTCGAAAAATCGAGAAATTTAAATTCGGAAAATCTGAAACTTTAAAAATCGAAATATTGAAAAATCAAGAACTTGAAAAATTGGAAAATCGAAAAATTGAAGAGTTGAAAAACAAAATATTGAGAATTTAAAATATTTTAAAAATCGACAAAATGGAAAACTGACATTGAAATTCGAAAAGTCAAAAACCGGGAAGTTTGGCAATGGAAACATCGAAAGTCTTAAGTTTAAAATATTGAAAAATTAAAGTATCGAAAAGTCGAAAAAATTCCCAAAATTGAAATGTTGAAATAGTGAGAAATCGAAAACTTGAAAACTCGGAAATTGGAAAAATTTTATAAATCGGAAAAACGAGACGTCGAGAAGTCCAAAATTCCAAAAATTGAAACACCAAAAAATCGAAAAACTGAAAAATCAAAAAATGTAAAAATCTACGATTTAAAATTTGGAAAATCGAAAAATCTAAAATTTAAGAAATCGATAAATTCAAAATACCCAAACTGAGTTCTCGAAAAATCAAAAACCAAGAAATCGAAACATTGAAACATCGAGAAATTGAAGCGTTAAAAGATCGAGAAGTCGAAAAATCGAGAAATTTAAATTCGAAAAATCTGAAACTTTAAAAATCGAAATATTGAAAAATCAAGAACTTGAAAAATTGGAAAGTCGAAAAATTGAAGAGTTGAAAAACAAAATATTGAGAATTTAAAATATTTTAAAAATTGACAAAATGGAAAACTGACATTGAAATTCGAAAAGTCAAAAACCGGGAAGTTTGGCAATGGAAACATCGAAAGTCTTAAGTTTAAAATATTGAAAAATTAAAGTATCGAAAAGTCGAAAAAATTCCCAAAATTGAAATGTTGTAATAGTGAGAAATCGAAAACTTGAGAACTCGGAAATTGGAAAAATTTTATAAATCGGAAAAACGAGACGTCGAGAAGTCCAAAATTCCAAAAATTGAAACACCAAAAAATCGAAAAACTGAAAAATCAAAAAATGTAAAAATCTACGATTTAAAATTTGGAAAATCGAAAAATCTAAAATTTAAGAAATCGATAAATTCAAAATACCCAAACTGAGTTCTCGAAAAATCAAAAACCAAGAAATCGAAACATTGAAACATCGTGAAATTGAAGCGTTAAAAGAGCGAGAAGTCGAAAAATCGAGAAATTTAAATTCGAAAAATCTGAAACTTTAAAAATCGAAATATTGAAAAATCAAGAACTTGAAAAATTGGAAAATCGAAAAATTGAAGAGTTGAAAAACGAAATATTGAGAATTTAAAATATTTTAAAAATCGCCAAAATGGAAAACTGACATTGAAATTCGAAAAGTCAAAAATCGGGAAGTTTGGCAATGGAAACATCGAAAGTCTTAAGTTTAAAATATTGAAAAATTAAAGTATCGAAAAGTCGAAAAAATTCCCAAAATTGAAATGTTGAAATGGTGAGAAATCGAAAACTTGAAAACTCGGAAATTGGAAAAATTTTATAAATCGGAAAAACGAGACGTCGAGAAGTCCAAAATTCCAAAAATTGAAACACCAAAAAATCGAAAAACTGAAAATTAAAAAAATGTAAAAATCTACGATTTAAAATTTGGAAAATCGAAAAATCTAAAATTTAAGAAATCGATAAATTCAAAATACCCAAACTGAGTTCTAGAATAATTTAAAACCAAGAAATCGAAACATTGAAACATCGAGAAATTGAAGCGTTAAAAGATCGAGAAGTCGAAAAATCGAGAAATTTAAATTCGGAAAATCTGAAACTTTAAAAATCGAAATATTGAAAAATCAAGAACTTGAAAAATTGGAAAATCGAAAAATTGAAGAGTTGAAAAACAAAATATTGAGAATTTAAAATATTTTAAAAATCGACAAAATGGAAAACTGACATTGAAATTCGAAAAGTCAAAAACCGGGAAGTTTGGCAATGGAAACTTCGAAAGTCTTAAGTTTAAAATATTGAAAAATTAAAGTATCGAAAAGTCGAAAAAATTCCCAAAATTGAAATGTTGAAATAGTGAGAAATCGAAAACTTGAAAACTCGGAAATTGGAAAAATTTTATAAATCGGAAAAACGAGACGTCGAGAAGTCCAAAATTCCAAAAATTGAAACACCGAAAAATCGAAAAACTGAAAAATCAAAAAATGTAAAAATCTACGATTTAAAATTTGGAAAATCGAAAAATCTAAAATTTAAGAAATCGATAAATTCAAAATACCCAAACTGAATTCTCGAAAAATCAAAAACCAAGAAATCGAAACATTGAAACATCGAGAAATTGAAGCGTTAAAAGATCGAGAAATCGAAAAATCGAGAAATTTAAATTCGAAAAATCTGAAACTTTAAAAATCGAAATATTGAAAAATCAAGAACTTGAAAAATTGGAAAATCGAAAAGTTGAAAAATCGAAATATTGAGAATTTAAAATATTTCAAAAATCGACAAAATGGAAAACTGACATTGAAATTCGAAAAATCAAAAATGGGGAAGTTTGGCAATGGAAACATCGAAAGTCTTAAGTTTAAAATATTGAAAAATTAAAGTATCGAAAAGTCGAAAAAATTCCCAAAATTGAAATGTTGAAATAGTGAGAAATCGAAAACTTGAAAACTCGGAAATTGGAAAAATTTTATAAATCGGAAAAACGAGACGTCGAGAAGTCCAAAATTCCAAAAATTGAAACACCAAAAAATCGAAAAACTGAAAAATCAAAAAATGTAAAAATCTATGATTTAAAATTTGGAAAATCGAGAAATCTAAAATTTAAGAAATCGATAAATTCAAAATACCCAAACTGAATTCTCGAAAAATCAAAAACCAAGAAATCGAAAAATTGAAACATGGGAGAAATTGAAGCATCAAAAGATCGCGAAGTCGAAAAATCGAGGAATTAGAATACCCCGAAATCGAAAGTTTGAAAAATCGAAAATTTTAAATTCGAAAAATCTAAAACTTTAAAAAATCGAAATATTGAAAAATCAAGAACTTGAAAAATTGGAAAATCGAAAAATCGAAAAGTTGAAAAATCGAAATATTGAGAATTGAAATATTGAAAACATTGAAAAATTGAAACAACAAAAAATCGAAAAACTGAAAAATCAAAAAAAGCAAAAAATCGAGAAATTGAAAAAATCCCCAAACTGAATTCTTGTAAAATTAAAAAAAAAAATTCGAAAAATAAAAAATTGAAAATTGTAAAATTTAAACATTGGAAAAATTGACAAATTTATAAATTTTATTTTCCTTTACATTTAGGCCACTTCGTCATAAACAGCGGACAACGTAAAATATATTTACAACAGATAACCAACGGGAAAAATGGCCTCTCAACAACATGCATAGTGCTTGAAATGTTTATGTTACATCGGAAGAATGTCACGTGGAAATTTGTTTACTTTATTATTTTTATTTGTTATAGGAAGAGGAAAAGATTGTTAAGTACACTTAACTCAAGTAACTGTTTTTTGTGTTGCAGGGCATCCTGGGCTTCTACAAAGGCATCTCCGCCTCCTACATGGGCATCTCCGAGACCATCGTCCACTTCGTCATCTACGAAGCGATCAAAGCCGAACTGATCAACCACCATCAATATTCCGTCGAGAAAAGTTCTCGGGACTTTTTCGAGTTCATGATGGCGGGGGCAGTGTCGAAGACGGTCGCGTCGTGCATCGCGTACCCGCACGAGGTCGCCCGAACCCGCCTTCGCGAGGAGGGCAGCAGGTACACCGGCTTCTGGCAGACCCTCACTTTGGTCTTTAAGGAGGAGGGCGTCCGGGGGGTGTACCGGGGTCTGACGACGCAGCTCGTCCGGCAGATACCGAATACGGCCATCATGATGGCGACCTACGAGGCTGTGGTGTACGTGCTGACGACGAAGACGGGGACCGACTTCTACGAGAAGGAGGAGGCTCGCGGATAACAGGGTCGTAGTCTTGATGTTAGAGATCTGTGTTATTACGTTGTAAAGTTGAGGTTAGGTTAAGTTTCAATTTGTGGATGTAGTGGTGTACAGTATTAGAGGTAAAGTGTTTTTTGTTGAGAGATGATTCTGGTCATGTCGGTAGGGTAAGATGTAAAAATCGGTCGAGAACTGTTTTGTTATGGAGATTTAAGGTGGTTTCGAGATGCGATATTTTCTTATAGATGTATAAATTTGCTCGTTGTATATATGGCCAAGTTATTGATTTAAATATACCTTTTGTCTAAAGAGGGGTTTGTGTTTTAAGCCCAGGTCCAGTTGGTATTATTAAAAAACAAATTATATACCGATTTTTAGGTTTCAGTGGAACATCTAGGGGTAAATCTCTACGAAAATCATGGTATCAGGAAGTCTTCAGAAAGTTGGAAATAATGTAGGTAAGCGAAGAATAATGTTGCTTCTCCGGTGGGAATCGAACTGCACGTTTACCGCTTGCCGGGCGGGTGCCCTTACCACTAGACTACGGAGGAGCTTATCTTTACAATAATATATTCAATTCAAAATATGGAATTTTTTTGATAATGGGTCAAGAGCATAGGAAAAAATCCACCAAAGGAAAAACTTGAGTTGTAGAAGAACTAAGTCAGTGTAGAAAATTTGGACTACGGTAAAAAAATGAGACTATATTTGGATAAAAATAAAATTAATTTAATTATATTTACATCTGTATTACGAAATTATTAACTATTAAGAAGAACTTTCCCTAGTTGCACCCCGTTTTTCTAAATTTTTCCTGTTCATTTTCTGTTGCTTTTCCCTAATATAGATATATCTAACCCGAAATAAAGAAAATGTTTGTAAAAATTTTCATTTAATATGTCAAAAATTGAAAAATTCCAAAACTGAAATGACGAAAAATTGAAAAATCGCGTAATCGAAATATCAAAAAATCGAAGCAGAAAGTCCAGAAATCGAGAAATGGGAAAATAAAAATTCGATTAAAAATTGAGAACTTAAAAAATCAAAATTGAAGAATTGGAAAACCGAAACATTGAAAAGTCAAGAAATAAGAAAATCAAAAATCTACTAATTGAAACATTGAAAAATTGAAAATTTACAAACGTGAAAAATTGAATCTAAAAATTGAAAAATCGCAAAACGAAAAAGAAGTCGAAAATTTAAACAATTAAGAATTGAAGAATCGAAAAACTGAAGGATAAAAATTGAAAAATCCTAAAACTGAAATATCAAAAAATTGAAAAGTTGAAATCAGAAAAGTCGAAAAATTGAAAAATGTAAGAAAAATTGAGAAATCGAAAAATTCATAAACTGAACTATCGAGAAATCGAAAAGTGGAGAAGTCTAAAAATTGAGACAAATCAAAATAGGCCAAAATTGAAAAATTTAAAATTCAAATCGAAAAATCATGAAGTTAACCAAAAAAAAAATCGAAACATCGAAATCTCGATAAATCGAAAAACTGAAAAGTCGAGAAATTACGATATGAGAAAACCAGAAAATCAATTAATCGAAAATATAGAAACGTCCAAAATGAAAAATCCCAAAACTGAAACATCCAAAAATTGAAAAATGGAAGCAAAATTGAGAATCGAAAAAGTAGAAAATCCCAAAATTGAAATATCCAAAAATCGAGAACTTGAAAAAAAAAATTGAAGAATTGGTAAACCGGAACATTGAAAAGTCAAGAAATAGGAAAATCAAAAATCTACTAATTGAGACATTGAAAAATTGAAAATTTACAAACGTGAAAATTTGAATCTAAAAATTGAAAAATCGCAAAACTGAAAAATCGGAAAATTGAGAAATCGGAAAACGAAAAAGAAGTCGAAAATTTAAACAATTAAGAATTGAAGAATCGAAAAACTGAAGGATAAAAACTGAAAAATCCTAAAACTGAAATATCAAAAAATTGAAAAGTTGAAAGAAAAGTCGAAATATTGAAAAATTCCAAAACTGAACTATCGAGAAATCGAAAAGTGGAGAAGTCTAGTAAGTAAGTAAGTAAGTAAGTATTTATTAATGACCATTAGGGTACATAAGTCAAGTCAGATGAAGTTACAATATAAAGAGTTTAAAATTATACAATTTACAAGATAATTCAAATCGACTGGTAAAAACTACACAGGACATCGCTACAATTTAAAAATTCATCGAGAGAGTAAAATGCGTTTTTTAATAAAAAATTTCTTATAGTACGGCTAAATTGCGAAAAAGGTAAGTTAGCAATACGTTTCGGTAATTTATTGAATAATTTGGGCCCATAATAATTGATGGCATTTCTACTTCTACCTACACGATAGAATTCGGTGTGAATGCTATGGGTAGATCTCGTGATTAATGACATATTTGTGGGATTATTATAAGTGGTGAGATTAGACTTCACATATAATAAAGCATATAAAATATAAAGACAGGGCACGGTGAGAATACTTTTTTCTTTAAAATAATTTTTAACACAAGCTCTGTAAGATAGACCTCCAATAATTCGAACTACTCGGCGCTGCAATTTAAAAACGGTTTTTAAATGACTGCTGTGGCCCCAGGTTATAATGGCATAGCTAAAAATACTTTGAAATAAAGAGTAGTATATCATCATAAGGATCTGCTCACTAACCTCATATTGCAAATTCCTAATAAGAAAAGTTGACTTGGACAATTTTTTACAGATATCAATGACGTGATTATCCCAGCATAATTTCGGGTCCAGTGTCACACCAAGAAATTTGACACACCTCGGATTGTCAATCTCAGAAATGTAACGAAGGGAAAACACCATTTTTTGAGTTTTCAGTACATTAAGCGTTAATCTGTTTGAAGTAAACCATTCACTAGCAGCATTAATATCTTGTTCCATCCTGTCCAAGAGAGACGGGATGTCTGAGTCCACACTATAGCAAGTAGTGTCATCCGCAAAAAGTATGATTTTATTGTCTAGATGTTTAGCCAAGTCGTTAATGTATAACAAAAAGAGCAACGGACCTAAAATCGAGCCTTGTGGCACTCCTATGTTAACTATTGTCATTTCGGAGTATACATTATTAAACAGAACAACCTGCTGGCGATTGTGGAGAAAACTAAAAATAAGCTGTAAGGCTCCATTTGACAATCCGTACAACTCAAGCTTGTTTATTAGAATGTTGTGATTAATACTATCGAAAGCTTTTGATAGATCACAAAATGTGCATCCTAAGAATTGTTTTGTTTCGAAACAGGTAATGACCTCATCAACAAGCCTATTAATAGCCATGGTTGTACTTTTGCCATGTTGGAAACCAAACTGGCGTTGGTTCAATATATTTTGTTTAGTAACGTATTCCTCAAGTTGTTTAAGCATAATCTTTTCTAAAATTTTCCCAAAAATAGGCGTTATAGAGATTGGTCTATATTTATCAACATCATCTACGTTGCCCTTTTTGTGGATAGGGATTACTTTGGTCACCTTGAGACAGGATGGGAAAAGATTTTCATTAATACACCGATTGATCAATCTTGTGAGTGGAACTAGAATGAGATTCTTAATATTCCTAACAATGGTGATACTTATGTTGTAGTAGTCCTTACTTTTCTTTTTTTTTGATGGAATCAATTGTATCTCTTACTTCATTAAATGTTATCTCTCTGAAATTGAAAACAGAGTTCACCGGAGTCAAATTTTTGTGCATTAGCTGAATTGGATCCGTATTTGATAATTTTAAATTATTCTCCAAATTATGTGGGATATCACCAAAAAATGTAGAGAAGTCCTCCGCAGTCAGTTTTTCTGAATAATTATTGCTACTAGCTAATCGTTTGCTATTAATTAATTTCCAGCTGTCCTTTGCTACATTAGTAGAATTTTTAATTAGGTTGTCATTAAAGGTTTTTTTTCTTTTCTTAACTTCGGTTCTAAACAATTCTCTATATTTTTGAAAATAGGTCACAAAAGTTGGGTCATTAGGATTTTGATTGTGTAATTCGTGTAGCAGGTCTACATTTTGTTTCATTTTATGTAATTTCTCATCATACCAGTAAATATCATCCTTTTTAACATTTTTTATTCTTTTTACTTTTATAGGAAAGGCCATGTTTACTTTATCAGAAATTAATTTGGTGAATAAGTTAAATTTGGTATTTGTATCAAGTCCAGCATCATTGATAAAATCAAAATTGCAATCACTAATAATATTAAAAAAATTAAAGAATCCTACTTCCGTAAAAGGTTGATATGATACAACTTTCGAGCAGTCTTTTGACTTATGACGATTATGTGGAATTTCTACAGTAGCAGCACGATGGTCAGATAAATGAGTCTCCATGACCTGGTGCCTACAATCATGTGCGATATTTGTAAGTATATTATCAATACACGAATTTGCTCGCGTGTTCTCAAAGATTAGAGGTCTCAAATTATAAGATTTTAAAAAGTTAAGGAACTCTAGAGTCTGTTTGGTTTTGCGGTCAAAATGTATGTTAAAGTCTCCATTAATAATAACATCTGAATCGATTATATTGATAAAATTAAATAAATTAGTCAAATTAGAGTATAAAACTTCCAGATTGCCTTTTGGTGCTCTGTATACAGTTATTATGATTAGTTTGGGTTTATTAACTTTAATGGCTGCAAGCTCAATGTCAATTACATTACAAAACTTTGAAACATCAATAACTTGGTATTTAATTTTATCGTTTACTAGTATCACAACACCGCCATAACCTTTATCTTTCCTGGTATAGGCAGAGGCTATCTTAAAACTACCCAATTTTAATAAATCCAACTCATAGTTTGTTAACCAATGTTCTGTAAAACATAAAACATCATAAGATTCTTCAATGTTATGTAAAACTACCTCTACTTCATCAACTTTTTTCCTAATCGATTGTACATTTAAATGGAAAATTGAAAAATAGCTATCACTAACTACCGCTTTACTCGTTAATTTTTTTAAAATGAAAAAACTTGCGAACACATGCTCCTACAGGCCAGATGTTGGGATCCAGGGCTTTTCCGAAATTGTCAGCATATACAGACAGCTTGAAAGATGAATATTCGCCTTTGTGTTTAGCTTCCAGTTCCTCGCATTTTGCTTCGGGAAAATGAGATTTAACAAACGTTAGTACGTCTTCCTTTTTGGTATCTGGGTGTAACCTATAAACATGCAGATCCATTAGTTTTGGTATAGCTTTCAAACTGCAACCTGCAGCAGCGAAACAACCAACTACGGCTTTACGTTTTTTCTTCTCAACTAGATTCCATTCATCATTATGGCGTTTTGGAAGAGCCTTTGGCT